TTGGGAAAACATAACCCCCCCTTTTCAAATAAAAAAAAAAAAAAAAAAAAAAAAAAAATCTGAAGTTAAGAACATAACAATGAAAAATAATAATGAATAAGCAGCCAACATGAGTAAATAAAAATACTTATTTTAAGTAATTCAGTACATGAACATTCACAGTACAGGCTCACACAAGAGAGTCAGACAGTTGTTTGGAAAGTAATCTCAGTGTTTTTCCCATACAAAGAGTTTAATTTGAGTGGATTGCCTTGATTTCGAAGTTTGGAGGTTTTTACAGGTATAATACAAAGAGAAGAAATTATTTATTTATTTATTTATATATTTTTTTTGAGAGATTTTCGCTATACGGCACATGCGCTCGCCAGACAGACAGAGAGACAGAGACACAGAAAGTAAGAAATCACCCCCCAGGGGGGATGGCCACACCGCAATCCCTTCTCCTCCATTCTCCTCTCGGGATCTTGGGCACACACGCACACGCACCCGGCGTGAGTTTTCAGCCACCGGGTCCGGGACGCGAACCGCGGTCGACTACGTGAGAGTCCAGCGACATAGCCATTACGCTAACTGCTGGTTCCCAAAAGAACAAATTTTTTAGAAAAACATGTTTCTATTCCACACCTAATCAGACAAATGATCAATTTTAAACAGACTCAAAGGTCTCCTGCTTCCAAACTTTGGCCTTTCTCCTTCCTCACCTGTGCTTCCACCCACCAAATTCCAATCTCTCCATCAAGGCGTTAAAATAAAAAGAGAAGTAAAAGAAATTAAAAAGTGAGTTGACTATGTGGCCTAGTGGTTAAGGGAGTCAGACCCCACCTGGCCAGCTACATGGCTTTTTGAGAACTATGCTGGGCACATGTGCATGTATGCCTAAAATCCAGAGAGGACAGAGAAATGGAGAAAGGGTTGTGACATGGCCACACTCCACTGGGAAGACACTTTCTCCCTCTTCCTCTCTCAGTCTCTGTCTTTCTTTGGTGAGCACACAAGGCTTCTGAAAAATAAAAAGAAAAAAAAAACAGAAAGAAGGAAAGAAAGAAAGAAGAAAGAGAGAGAGAGAAAGAAAGAAGAAAGATTTTTTTATGAGACAAGTTTTATTGACTGGGAACTCACATCAAATTCATTCTATAAAATTGACGCTAAGATAAACAAAGTCAGATACTAATTAAAATGTTAAGAATAGAGCTTATTTAAGAACTATCCTAACAGGGAAGAGGTTTCCGTATGACATGAACTCAACTTCTCTTAAGCAAAAGGCTGAAGACCTTTTAAGGTCTGAGGTATGATAATAAAAAGTTTCTAGGGATGTTACGGGGAGGTTGGCTCAGGCTACCATAACAAATTACCCCAGACCGGGTGGCTTAAATGACAGAAATTTATTTCCTCACAGTTGTGTAGGCTAGAAATCCAAGATCAAAGTGTTGGCTGATTCTGCCTCTGCTCAAGATTGCCTTCTTACCCCGCTGGTGGCAACCTTCTTGTGAGATTACACGTGTGACCACAGAAAGAGGAAGATCCAGTTCTCTGCTGTCTCTTCTCACAAGGATTCCTATCTTATCAGATCACAGTCCCATTTCAATGACTTCATTTAACCTTAATGACTTCCTTAGAGTCTCCATCTTCAAATACAGTCACATCGAGGGTTAGGGCTTCTATGAGTGAACACAATTCAGTCCACGGCAATTAGCATTGAACAGAGAGGGCTCTTAGGTCCATGCGAAAACAGTTTTAGGTCATAGATTTACATCCCAAAGGAGAGAAAGAAAGCTTAAACTCATACTTTTTTAAAGAACCTGTGCGTGTGTGCCCAAGATCCCTAGAGGAGAACGGAGGAGAAGGGATTGCGGAGTGGCCATCCCCCCTGGGGGGTGATTTCTCACTTTCTGTCTGTCTCTGTCTATCTGGTGAGTGCACGTGCCCTATAGCAAAAACCTCTCAAAAAAAAAAAAAAAAAAAAAAAAAAAAAACTGCTTTAAG